GCCCTAAACTATATACCCCTATTATAACTACGATACTATACCATAGTATCATAATAGGGGTATATAGTTTAGGGCTTAAAAGGTTTACCTGAAACCCAAAAGTAGGTAAAATAATAGCCCCAAACCCTTAAAAAAGCCCAACACGCCATTATTCTACATACTGTTGGGGTTCAGGTAGGGTTACTATATTCAATTTTTAGGGCAAAGGAGAAGTCGAGGATCTTAAGCTGAGGTTTGGCGTTGCAGAAGGCGAGATCCAGTTGGGATCCCGACCAAAAGGAGCTACGTTTTAAGTAGATAGAATGTAGGGTTTTATAGTGGTTATATCGGGATAATGGAAAAGAAGATGGAAACTACTATCTAGGGTTTAGGGTTTAGGGTTTATAGTCCCCCTTAAGTAGATAGAATAATATGACTTTGAGTATATCATAATAAGATCCCCATATACACCATATTCGATCTACTTAAGGGGGACTATAGGGTTCTGGGGCTAAGCGTCTAGGGCTTAGACTTCCGACCTCAAGTAGACGTTATATAAGGGTTTGTAGCTCCAGGGCAGCAGGGGGGCAGCTTAAGAACATTGATCTACCGTCATCTTTTAAACGAGTCCTAATGGGAAATTCTGGGGTTTCATACATGGAGTCTCAAGCGCACCCAGCAAGCCATAGGTTAACGACGGGGAGAACTCGACCTATTGCGGGGCTTATACGCGCTTGAAGTGCACTTGCTAAATCCCCCTGACCCTGAGCCCTAAACTGTTTATAGCACAGTGGTTTCCATTCTCTTTCAAAGTCCCTTAACTTTGAACCCTAAACCCTAAATCCCTAAACCCCTAAACCCTACACCCTCAAAGTCCCTTTGAACCCTCCAAGTAGCTGCTCCGGGTTTGCTTCCCTGAGGCTTCGCAGGCTGCGAAACAAGCAGCGGGATGACTACATCATGGCCAGGCACCAAGGGTTTCCCATACAAAGGGTTTAGGTTTAGGGGTTTAATGTTTAGGGTTTTAGGGGTTCAGGTTTAGGGTTAGGGGTTGAGGGGTTGAGGGTTTAGGGGTTTAGGGTTAGGGGTTTGGAGGGATAGGGTTTAGGGTGGTAGCATATGAGTTATAGTCGATTCCTTACAGTGGGGGTTATATAGGGGATAATATAGGTAAGTATTATTGGCCCGTTTAAAGGGGATACCTTGCTCATATGATTACTTTAGAGCCCAGGCGTATATGATGTAGCTACACGGACCCAATGGGTATGCGTTTGGGCTCGAGTGTCCAGGTGTCAGGCTTTAGTGTCTAGGATTCAGGTGTGTACCAAGGGATTTGGGGCGCAACCTTCTTTCTGGGTGCACGGGTTTTTCGAGGCCACCGCCTCAACATAACTTAGGGTTTAGGGTTTAGGGTTTAGGGAACATAGGCAACTGCCCCCAAAGTACACCCAACATGTCAGAGCCCAACAGGACCCCAATGATACCCATCAAGAGCGAGCAGACAATGAGTTCTGCTTTCAAATTAAGGTATAAACGTACCAAAGCATCAGGTATACCAGACAGTTGTTTGCCCTGACTTTGCACCATGCTCATCAGATACCCTAAACCCTAAGCTCTAAACTCCCTTGTGAAGCTGGACCTCCCAATTAGCCATAGCAGCAACCTACACATCCAGCATTCGCGGGTCAAATGGAACTGCTGGATCAATGCTAGGGATCCTTTATACTTTCTGGACAGGATACCCTACACTTGTGTTAAAGGGATCCTTTTTTCTTCCTGGGACATTGTGGGCTAAGATTATTATGTGCAGGTGAGAGTTAAAAAGCGCTGGATGCGTCAAAATGCCCAAGTCTCGAGGGCTTACCTAGAGAAATCTAGATCCCTTCAGAAACCACACTATTGGGTATCAGGCCTTTTTCAGGTAAGTGGGTTGCCCTAGGAAGGCTTTCAATGTTTTTGGCTATATCCTTGTGGAATCCTGGTCCTTATGAGGGCTACTTGAACGGTTAGAAATCCGTGACTGAGACTGTAGGCGTAGTTACCTTGTAGCTCCCCACAGACTCAAGAAGTCTGAACCCTTGAATCACAGTAAGGATCCTCGTCAGGGACAAGGCCCTGGGGATCAAGCACTTGGCAAGTCAGAAACACAGCGAACATGGTGTGGGCGGCCGCCTGTCTCAGAGGAGTGGTATTGTAACGATTCTGCCATAGTTCCGAATCCTCTTGGTTATCATGCTGTATAGGTAGCATATGAGCTATAGTCTACACTCCTTAAGCGGAGTTATACAGGGGATGATATAGGCGAGTCTTATAGAGGTTATTAAGGGGGATGCTAGGAGCTGAGTCTAAAGCTCATATACTCTTACTTGGTTAAACCAAAAGGAAGTTTCTCGATATTGTAGTACTCCCAGGCGCTTCACGGAAAAGTTGTGATTGCAAGAGGATGATAGGGGTCCCTTCCCCTAAGGGTCCAAAGACCCAAATAATAGGGCTTCAGGGCCCAAATACTAAAATATTAATGGTATTTGGGCCCTAAAGCCATATTATTTGGGTCCTTGGACCCCTAGGGTTCTTAAGGGATTATGAGGCTTAGGGTTTTGGGATGCCACTGTACAAGGCAAGGCGCAGAGGACCTGATCATACGAGCTTAGTGCTTACATTCGAGCATCTCCCACAGGGTCTATGTAGGTATATGGGATATACTTGGGCCTTAAAGTAGGTATATGGGAACCTCTTTGGGCCCTAAGTATATACCATGCACTACATGGACCCTTTGGGTCTTTCAGCGTTGCAACGTCTGCATGTGCTACAGGGAAGACAGATTGGACTGGTGTATGCAGGTTTCAGAAAGCTCGATTATGATTACGTTTACGTTGCGTCCGGTTTCCTAGTGTCATAAGCGTCGATTGGTTGTTTTTTTCCGAGAACTTGATGCCATTGAATGCCTGAATCCGAGCCCCTGCAGCTCGTGTAGGACTCTGTACTACGCACTCGCGCTGCCAGTAGTGCTGCTGTTGCTACTGCTCCTGCTGCCGTCGCTGCTGCAATGGCGACTGGCACCTGTTGGCGTCATCCTGGCTTTCAACCCCATTGATATTGCTATCACCCAGCCCCCATGCAACACCGAGTCGCCAAAGCCGAGACCACAGAGCAAGCGCCCAAACGCCTAGCTTACAGGTGGCTATTAGGGAATAAGGGTCTATACTATTTGGGACGTCTACGGATTAGATTCCCTTGTTCCCTGCTACTAACCACCGGTAAGTAGAAAACCATGAGCTCCTAAACCCAAAGCCCCGCAGCTCGAAAGCAAGCACATCTCTGGGTGTCGGGATAGTGGAGCTTAGTGGAGACTCAATTAAACAGGAACCTGGCCTTATCGCCCCATATTATGAGTCCTTAGAGCCTTAGGGTAACCCCTAAACCTTCAATCCTGAAGCTTGATCCCCTAAATCCTAAACCCTAACCCTAAACCCTACACCCTAATATCCCAAAGGCCAACCCAGTCCCAAATACCTTGAACCACCCTGTCCCAAAAACTTGTAACCACCCGATCCTAAATCCTAGACTCCGAACCCAGAGCAAGGAAATCTCTGGGGCGCTGCGCTGGTGCTCTGCCGATTCCTGGCCTCGCCGGCTCGTCCTGCCGGAGGGCGGCTGGATGGTTTTGGCGGGTTTAGGGTTTAGGGTTTCAGGTTTAGGGCTTATTTTGGGAGAATGGCAAATACAATGGAACCTACTACAGGGTTAAGGCCGGGGTTTAGGGACAATGGAAAATACCTGCTATAGCATAATAGCGTATATGAAGGGGTGTATATTGGGGTAATGGAGAAGAAAATGGACTCTACTATATTAATAAGGCGCAGGATAGTTTAGGGTTTAAGGTCAAGGGTTCAGAGTTTAGGGTTCGGGGTTTAGGGTTTGGGGTTCGGGGGTTTGG